GGCGCCTGCGGCAATGAAGACGTTAAAAACCATAAAACAAAGGTCTGCTGCAAGCACCTTGAAAAATTCGTAAGGTCCGTTGGTTCGGTCCGTGGTTTAGTTGGCATAGCGTAATTTTTTTGCAAAATTCTATAAACTTCAAATGTTTTTTTAACCGATTTCAAAAAAGGAGGAGATTCAATTCTACTGGATTTTTTTGGTTATATGTTACGCTAGTACTCTGGTATTTGTGAACCGATTTTGAATACTCTTTTTTTCTTGGAATTAGTGTAGGTACTTCACTATTTGAAATCAGTGCACACCTTTAGATTTAAGTACAAGGTATACCTTTTGGATAACCAAAAGAGCACACTCTGATAATAATCGCTTACCTCACTGGTTCCAGACTCGAAGCGTAGGCCAATCGTCCAAGTCCAAGGTTTTGCAAACTTTCCGTTTTATCATTGAACCCTTCATAAGATTGAGTCACTATTATTATATTATTTTCTTGGTTCGAAATGTTTATTTATTTCTCACACATTATTTATTACTTACTGCACAGAATATTAATTACATCTTCATATAACATATGTATCTATTAATTAAGTAATGAAATTAGTTTACACTTATACTGTTTTATTTATCTATGTATTCGTTTTATATGTATATCTAGTGTAAATATTTTTATATATACCAAGCCTCATGTTAGGTTAGGTTAGTTATTAGTTTTTGGTATTTGTTAGGGTATTTGTTTTGTTTGTGCTCGAGTCCGTGCTTCACTCATATCGGGCTTGCTGAAAACCAGCGCTGCAGGCTGAAATCTATGAGCCTGTAGCTAATAGCTGAGCAAATCCCGTTTGCGTGTGCCGCGACACGCATTTATTATTACATTTTTAATATTTTTTTTTTATTTTTATTTTGTTTTAATCATTATAATTATGTTGTAACTTTTGTTGTAAGTCCTGTATTTTAGTTTAAAGTTTATAATGTTCTATTTTAATTTTAAGATCATGTGTGTCTCGGTGCTTACGCAATAAAGTATTCCTATTCTTATTAGTTTCATTTCGATTTGAAGAAAATATTCCACCTGCAAGGGTGGCAAACTAGGGGATGAATCCGATTTCGCGCACTTTCTGATAACCGATTTCAATAAAACTGTATTTCCACGAACTATTGACGTTGGTTTTTTTTTATAAAAAAGTTATAATTACGTATTGACATCCTACACAGGTTGGATGCCTCACTTTGATAAGTTTGACTGTAGAGTGAGAAACAGGAGTAAAAAAATTAACATGTTGGGTTTTACCATCGAGTATATAACCAGAAATAGAGCAAATCATGCAAATGGGCCTTATATCACTTTTAAATATCAACTCTCGTTTGCGCTAAAATCACAAATTAGAAAACTTAAATAGTACAGCATCAACAACTGACCTGTGGACGTCTCGTATATTCCAAAAATATTCTGTATTTATTGTAATAAAGATAATTTAACAATGGGGTGTTGTTCCGTTCGGTGGTGTGGGAAAAACAGCAAACCAATATATATATTAATAATGTAATTTTTAAATTTTCGTCTGTTATAGCAAAGCTCAAGTTAAACTGGACGATTTGAAGAGAAACAATTGACGACACCCGTCAATTGTTTCGAATTCGGGCTGGCCAATCGGAGCGCAGTTGTCACCGTAATGATTTGGCAGAATAGTTTTCCAACAAAGTTCATTTCAATTTCCAGTTACATACTCGATGGGTTTCATACATTAATCTAACCGAATGTAGCTCCGTATCTTGTTTTTTAAAATATTTACTTCTAGGGTTATTTTTTCTATGTTTATGTAAGACAAAATTATGTAAGTACTTACGTACTATATACGTAATGTGTATTATTACATTTACACCTGTTTTTAGACCAGTTTTTCCACGATATTGCACTTCACAAAATGACACAACATTTTTGAATATATACATATATATATTTATCGAGTTCTTAGGTTTTCGCGATTGTTACGTATAAGAAATGAAAATATTTTTCAGGATTTATTTCGCGTATATTTGTGTTTATTCGGTTGACTCAACCATGACCTGTAAAGGTCCCGAAACGTTGGTTTGTTTGAAAAAACAAACTTACGCGATTTAAATCCAGAAAAATAGTTTCATATATACATAAGAAATGTAAATGAAGAAAAGACCCGTGAAATGTAACATCCCCTTACAGGATGCTGGAGTTTACAAGCTTTTATTCTAATTTCTATTATTAATTAATAATAAATTGAACCTAATAAAAATTCATTCAATAAAATAATTTGTAAAATAGAATGTAGCGTAAATTGGAATGTTTTCTTTGTCAAATTAAAAATAAGGTATTTAATTAATAACTATTGTAACTATAGTGAAAAAACAGGGTAGTTTGCATTAATATTAGACATAACTGGTTGAAGACTGTACCACCTCAATCAACCGTGACCATGGGACCTGTAAAGGGCCCGAAACGTCGGTTTGTTTGAAAAAACAAATATACGCGATTTAAATCCGGAAAAATAGTTTCATTTTCTATTGGCGAATTAACGTCACAAAAGTCTAGCAACACTGCTCCTTAGGTGCCCGAGGATGTAAAGAGACGGCGTGGACGACCGGCCTTTCAGATGCCTTTTACGAACTGCCACCTAAACCAAAGCCTTTAAGCCGACCCTGCGGGTGCCTTAGAAGATGGTCAAATAACATTTCTAACTGATCGTTCACAATACTTTCACACTCTGAATATCACAACACTAAAACATTGATAAGATGAACAAAATGAAACCATAGAAGCAGAACTCAATAACGTAAACATAATTGGCATTTTTATTATTGTGATTTATGCTTTTTCGTTGAACACTTAACTGTTTCTGTATATATTTTTGTTATTATAGAATCAGTTTAATGTTAAAAAAGCCCAATCGAACTACACAATAAACATAAACGTTTCTTGTTTTGTGACGTTTGTGTTTGTGTGTGTGTTCAGTTGCGAGTGGCGCTAGAGTCCATACATTTTAATCGCAAATGCACCAAGCGAGAAACGTCCGTAATATCAACTTAGCAACCGCAACTGATAGCAATGGCGTTGCTATTGTACAATTAGCAACCAGTTGCTAAAGTTAGGTGATAAGCCTGCGGGAAGGCGTTGGCGGGACGATTTTATTGAATTTGAGAGAGAATAGTGGGAGATTGCCAAAGACAGGGAGCAATGGAGAATTTTGGGGGAAACCTTTATCCAGCAATGGGACATAATAGGTAAATAAAAAAAACAACACGATTGGAAATTGATACATATACTACTTAACTACGAAATGAATTGTTTGACTGAATCCATTGACTTACAAATAAATGGACGACGGGTCTAATACAAAAACCACGAAAAAAATGTCCCAAGTCAACCTATTCGAAATTTAAATTGTAATGTCATCGCAGTATCTATCGCGCTGTCAGTCGAACAAATGAAGACTAAAGCGGAGTTTGGCGCTCTGTATACGATTTTAGCGCCTTACAAGTGCGGACACTTTTTAGCGCGGACCCGACGTCCATATAATTGTAAGTCAATGACTGAATCTAATAAATTAAGCATCGATACAATCTCAAATGGCTTTGGTTGATTCCGTGTAACTGAGAAAGTGTTGAGTCGCTTTGAATAAAATATATAGTAAAATTGGGGATATACGCTGATTAGTATACGGTGTGAAAACAAAAATTTCACGATAGAAAAAAAACAAACTTACCTCGAAATTTAACAAGAAAACCGTTTTATACAATAGGTACTTTACATATACCTACCAATGATTTTTTAAAAATCAACTGAATTAAATAGAACGCATATAGTATACTTACTATATACATCTTTAAAATGCACTAATTTTGTTTGTAAAAAAA